ATAACAGCGAGCGGTGAGACGAGGCAGCTACAAAACCATATACGCATGGGGGGTGTGTGTTGTGACACAGAACACGTCATGGGAGTCATCGACAGAGGATTTCTCAACCTCGGTCTGATTTAATAACAGATTAACCTCTTGCGCTGAATACAGTTACCTGGGTAACTGCTCAGCCTCGGGCTCTCAGTTGGACAGTTCTGCATTCCCTTTACAAAGCCTCCATTCCCTGGGAAGGGCTCTGCAGCCTGGGAAGCAGACACTGAAACCACATAGCTTGACAAGCCTTAAAGTAAGCTGGTTCCCAAGAGCTCAGATATTCACCCTATACACCAAACCTGAACAGAGAATTAAGTGCACCCGATCCACTTCACTTTTAGGAGTCTGTACCTACCAAAACAGTCTTTTTAGGTGCCTACCAAAACAGTCTTTTTTTGTACCTGTTGTCTTTCTGAAGAAAGAAAATTGCACAGAGTCTTTATGGTTACAATTGCACAAAACTACGAATAACTCGTATTTGCTAACACCCTGCAGAACTACTTCAACCAGCCGGTTTAGCACAGAACATCACCTTCAGCCAAAGAACTTCTGGTTGGAAATCATGCGCTGAAATACTGTCTTTCAAAGGATGCTGACCAAGGGGATCACAGCAGTTAAAACTTGAGAGGTGATCTAAAAAAAATCCCAAATCCTCAGCTCACAATGTAATGCAATGAACAATTTCATATTATTAATCCTTTTATGTATTAAACTGTGTCTCTTTGTTTCACAAATTTTAGAAAGACAAATAGCCTCAGATCCCCGACAGCAGCGTTATGCTGAAGAAGAAACTCCAGATCCTTCTCTTGTGACATTATAACTCTTCTCTCACAGAAAATACAAAGGGCACTTTCGAACAAGAATTTCACCAGAAGAACAATTGGGACTCTCGGTTCCACAGACGTAGTTTCAAGGGCTAATGGAGCAAGGATATGATGTGCAAGAGACAGTAACAGATTTGGGGGAGATGAGTAAGAGGGTGGGAGTATTTACTGGTACTTTTTCTCTATGCAATAAAATTTGCCAGAAGCAAAAAAGCCTAATACAGAAAGGTGCCGTCAGCTTCCTATTCTCTTATTCAGACAATTCCCTCAATACACAACACACCTGACTCATCTCTGAGCCACTGTAGCTCAAGATACAAAAATGTTTAGGACTTACAATATCTGGGACATGGGTACATTTTTTTAAACCATGATACTTCGTGACCTTCACTAGCTCATTCTTCTCGCAAAGGCACTAATTAAGTTGAACTGCTGTAAAGTAACAGCACTGGATTCAAGACAACTTTCACACACGTTTCATCCATCTCTGTTAAGCAAAACTTCCACTGAAAACAGCAGGTTTTGGCCACCAAAGTGATGCACTCAAGAAAAACTACTTCAAGGCACTATCCTCGACTTGCAAGTAATGATAAAGCCTTGGGAAAAATTCCAGCTTCAAAATAGTAGTGTTATATTCTCCATAGTGCAGGTGGCAAATGGCACTATCAGGTTTATTTGCATCTCATCCGTAAAGCTACTCACAGACATGCTCGTGCCTCTTACAGTGAGATAATGTTAAAAATTTGCTTCTGGTATCATTCATGGAAGAGTATGCTTTAAAAAAAACAACAGAAAGTTAAATTATAACCATGGCTTTTAATTTTAACTAACATTATGAAAAGAGAAAGAATAAAGATCTCCTTAATTTATCCTTTTAAATTCATTTCAGCATACAAATCAGATTTCCATCTTTATTTACGACCAGGAGCAATGATGTGAATGCAAGAGTTCAAGAGATGATTCCCCAGAAGTCTGGAAAGACCAAAGACTATGGCTCACCCAGTAAAGAAACCAAAACAAAAAAAA